CCCTCGCCGGGAGCAGCGGCAGATGCGCGGTGATACAGTGATACAGCCCACCCCCGCCTCTGGACCTCGCCACCCACCGGGCGGCCGGTCCTCTCCACCCCTGACACGATTGAGGGCGTTCCGACGTCCCGACGGGCCGTCAGTCGCGACACGGGGACAACAAATGCAAGACCACGCGAGCGGCAGCGCCTCGGGCCCGAGCTGCGGCGAAGCGCGTGAGCCGCGACGACAGCGGGGCGGCGGCGGCGCGGGCCCCTCCGAGGAGGCCGGCGGTGAGGAGGAAATCGCCCTGCACGCCGCGGCCGCCGCGGTCCTCGCGGAGGGGGGGCTCCGGGCCGGCGAGCACCGAGCCCGCCAGGGTAAGCTCGTTGACCTCTGCGTGTTCGGCTGCCTCGGCCTCGCCCTGCTCGGCGCCCTGACGTTCGCGGTCGTGACCATCGTCATCACCCTCTGCCGCGCCTTCAACGAGAGCGGCACCTACCCGGCCAGCGCCCGCGCGCTGTTCGCGCCCATCAGCCGGCCCAGGGCGCCCAACGCCGTCCTCTGGAAGAGCGACGATCTCGGCGACGACTAGGGGATGGCGGCTCCGCAGCCTGGCAAGGTGAGTGAGAGAGAGACAGACTCGCTGGCGACCCGGATGCGTGAGAGAGAGAGCGTGTATTTCAAGAGAGTGGTTAGGTTGCTCGCGAGCAGGAGAGGACCACTACTTGGACATTCCATGTACGCACTAAAAATATTCCAGATATTCCAAAAGTATTCCAGACATTACAAAAAAAATAATATTCCAAATATTCTAAACGATTCTATAACTATTCCGCATATTCCAAAAGTATTCTAGATATACACACAACAATAGCAGGGCGTTTCCAGCTGTACGGGCCCCACAATTATTTTTGGACGCACTTTGGCCTCTGGTGCTCCCAGTGGGGTTTTGTGGTCCTCTTTAGTACATATCCAACGGTGGGTCGTGTTCCGCTCTAGGTCAACCACCTGAAGGCGTTTTGGGCTCAGTGACAGCAAAAGAAGCTACTCCCACAAAAAATATTTACTTGAAAATAATTTGTTTTCTCAAGTCATAATTTAAGTGAAAAACCTCAAATTAGAAATAAATGTGAGAATCGATTTGGGCCGAAAAATTGCAGAATGTACCTCTAATCACCTGACATCAATGTGTGAAGAGAATTTTGATGCGGGCCAACCGTTCCGGAGTTATGCCCAAGTACACAGAATTTGGGGTATTTTTGTCATAAAGTGCCATTTTTTCCTTCCTTAGGCCGCGAGTTGACACGAGTATTGAGTATCCGCGAGTATTTGGCGAGTATTTCTTGATTCTTTCTCGAGTTGTTGCGAGTTTTTCGTGAGTTATCGTGATTATCAGCGAGTATCTTGCGAGTATTATTTCTCAACGGGTTTTTCGAGGGGCACCCCTAGCTTGACGGAGAAAAATAGGTCCGAGAAAATTAGGTCGGACGAAACCCATAGGTCGGAAAGCACTTTTATGGATTTTAGAAAAATCACCAGGTCGGAGAAAAATATGTAGGACAATAATCTGCTAAGTACACCCCCGACACGTTGCAGTAACGCCTTTCCTTTACGGTGCGTCCCCGTCACGGAGGACATTGCACCCCTCGTCACGGCCCGGCCGTCACGTTGCAGTAACGCCTGGGACGTTCTATCAGTGAAGGGCAAAAATCGAGACACTCAATTTTTGATTTTGACCAAATACTTTTTTTCTTTCTTGAAATGATGACAAATGATCAGAAAAAAATTGAAAAAAATTTGGCTCAAATGGTTGGTGAAATATACACAAAAAACTATCCAACTCAAAAGACGCGGCAATAAATTTTGTTGAAATATTTTTTTCCTGATTTAGTTTTACATTCTGATTTTAAAAAACTTTGTCCCATCCTCTGGACTTATACGGTTTAAAAGTTAGCTCTCTCTGTAATAGTCTAATTTCTGAGTTTCCGCTAATTCACCTAATAAAATTTTTCCCAACATGTTTGCTAGTGGCTGCTCAGGTAAGAAAATTGTCACGGGGGTTGAACTCAATAATAGAAAGTATATTCTGACAGAAAAAAAAGTATCCTACAAAGTAACGTGTAAGTCATCATTAAGTTAAACCCTGTGAGGATGACTTTAGCTATGGTTTTTCTGACGATACTTTTTTTTTGTCAGATTATACTTTTTATAGTTGAGTTCCATCCCCGTGACAATTTTCTTACCTGAGCAGCCACT